CCCCAAAACCCCAAAACCCCAAATGACGAGAAGAGTAAGAGTAAATAAGTTTATTAATAAACAAAGTCTTGATGATTATTTTATATGCTTGCTTAGTACTTCCATGGCAAAGAGAATCAAAGCTTTTTGTTCTTAGTGCTTGCAATACTTTTTCTAGGTGCAGATTTTGCATGGCCGCTGTTTCCCATGACCTCAAATTTATCTCCTCTTCTCTAGTAATAAATAACAATGAGCTGCTCCTGAGTTTCATTGAGTCGGCCATTGATGTCTTTGTCGAACTCACTTGTCCCCATTAGTTGCTTCACTGCTACGAGACATTCAATCACAGATTTCCTGATTAGTGCCTCAGGATTGTTGATCTCCTTGAGTAGAAGTTTGTTAATGATGCCTGAGAGAAATTTCAGGTCTGGCTTGAACGTCGTAGAATCTAGAACTAAAGTCATGCAATCCAAAACGAATTAGTTAAGGGATACTGAGTTTTCAGGTTTGAAACCATTCACAAAGTCAATCAGGAAGAATTTGAAGTTAAAGTGGAAGGCTACTCTCTGCATAAGATATAGCAGTCTTGGCTTCTATCTGTCCATTAAGGCTTCATTCAAGTAATAGGTACTGATTATGAGAGATAACTGCGTTCTGATGAGCTCGTGAATCTTCTTTTAAGTCTGGGACTCCATCAAGTCGAGAATCATCTAGAGTCCATACTCTACTTTGATTTTATCTTCATTGGTTGACTATACTAACCATTGAATTATTTCTGAAGCGTGTTTCTCCCAGAATCTAGTATTTTTGGCATTAGCTGAATTTTTATCTTTCAGAGCTTTAAGAACAATTGCTGGGTTAGCAAGCTATAGTTTGAGTTCCTCAATAAATGACTTCTGCTTTTCCACGATGCTCTTCTTCTTTTCTGTTTTCTTGGATACTTCTTACTATAAAATTTCAGGCTATTATATATCAATCTAATCCAAAGAATTCAAAGTATCAGACATTTGAAGAGGCATTTCCTTTGGATCTTTTAAATCAGCTTATGTACTTAGTGTAAACGGAGGCTGATTTTAGAGTTTCTCGTCTTGATTTTTAATCTAAGCCTCAACTATTTCATAATCTTTATATTCCTCATACTCCTTCTTGATTTCTTCATTCATTTGGATAACTGTTATTTCATCTAGCTACTAATCAGCATTTTAAAGCGATATTTCGTTTTCTTGCTGCTTATCCTTTTTAATACTTGAAGCCTATTCAAGCTAAATACTTTCAATTTTCACTTCAACCTCCTTTAGTTGTGAATCGTTAGACATTAAAGTCTTTTGCAAGGGGTAGTCTTGATTTCTGAGGACTTTAGTGTCGTTGTCTTCTCTTATATCAAAGCTGAATTGGACTTTAGGTGAACCTATAGAACTCTTGTTGGACTAGATGGATGAAATCATCATAGATTCTGGGGATTTAAGGGATTGCTAGTATTTCTTTTTCATTGAACTTCTGGGCTTTCCATGGCTAGCAAATCTTTTCTTATCTTCTCTATTCATGTCTCTTGGTGAAGCACCAGCCTCAGATTGCTGCATGCTCATTGAATTCATTTATACCATTGATTTTAGTTCTTATTCTTTGACGATACTCTTTATCATTAGAACGATATCTTGAATGCTTTGCCTTTACTCATCGAAATTTGTTCCAATGATGAACATTGTCAATATATCCTAGAGTAGGGCTAATTAAGTTTCAGAGATTTTTTCTAGCTAGGCCTCAAAAGCATTCTTCCCAGTGCAATACAGTAACTCCAATACGGCTTTTGAAAGTCTAAGGACACTTGAGGAATTAAGCTAATGATGAAGCAAAATAGTTGTAAGTAAGAATTCAATCGCTCCAGCTTGCTAAATAAGACAATCAAAGCCATTTGCCTTTTTAGATATTTAAATCCTAAAGAATATTAGTGCAAAGTTAAATTTACTTTTTAATAATGTTACTGATAAGCTCAAAGGCAGATATCATAAAAGCGGCCTGAGAATTTCTGACAGTAGACTTCACTCCTTTGATTAATGCAATCATTAGTTATTCCTCTTAGTATGATTGCAGGAGGTCATTAAATAATTGGTGGCAAGCCTCAACTTAAGAGTTATTTGACAGGTTTAATATAATCTTTTCAATTATTTGAGGTATGACTTGCATTATTGTATCTTTGAAGAATATTACAATGTTTCCAATGGTCTCCATTACAGTAATTTTGATCTCTTTGCTTTCATCTTCCATGCCTTTTATCAACTACTCTACAATAGCTGCAAAGCATTTAATTGGTGGGAGATCACCATCTTCATCCTCCATGTTATCAGATGAATCCAGACTATAAATATCAGCAATATGTGAATATGCACTGAATCTTTCCACTTCTAAAGTGCTTTAGCATTTAACTAATAGTTCTTAAATTTGCTTCTCCTTGTTTCCAGAGTCCTTAGTCCTTTTATTCTACTGAACAAAGCTCGAATCATTTGATACGATACCGCTTAACACTTTCTCGACATCTCTCATTTACTACACGTCTAAGGTATTGCTAGAGACTTTCTCTTTGATTTCAAGTCTGCCACTTGGAATTGTCTCCTGAAGCTAATTGAATCTATCATCATCAAGAATACTTCGATGATGATCATCAAATTGTACATCTGGTTGATTCTGAATGATTTGCTGAATAAGCTACTGATTATCAGGCTCATTACGAATAGTAAGGCTGATTTGTCCATCATCTTCATTTACAAACCTCGGAGAGATCTGCTCCATGTTGATCTACAATGGTCGGCACTCCTCTTCAAGAACTTATTATTCTGGGTCGAGAGTCTGATACTAACTGCCATCATCTTCTATTTACACATTCTAAAGTTATAATGAGGTCTTTGAATTTTAGTGCTTCAGTCCCGTTGTCTAGGTCTGAGACTGTCTTCTTTGAATTGATGAATTCAATGACTTATTTTTGAGCTTCATTAGATGTCTGGAAACCTAAGGTTGAGCCGGTGACATGTTATGATAGGCTTCTTTAACTTGCTGCTTCATTTGATCTTCGCCATTTGCATTTTTCTTTTTAAAAGCTATAGTGTTCTATGATCCAGTATTCTTCTTGTTGCTTTCAGTATGCCTTTCATCTATACTTTCATTCTGATTAAACTTGCTCTTATTTAAGTGCTTGAGTTTAGTAGCGATGTTTAGTATCTCTTTCTGCTTCTTTTCAGAGATAGGACTTTGAAGATTAGGATTAGAGTAGGAGCTTGCGAGATTCTTATTTGCATTATAAGTATTCTTTCTGAAAATAATCTTCTTAGTTTCTTCTTCTTTCTCAGATGTTAGCTAAATATCTCTTGTATTTGAGATCTGTCTGCTTGCTGAAGCACGGAACATATTAGTTGGCCTAGGTGAAGCATGCTACTTTTGCAGAGGTATGTTAATAGAGTCATTTAAGGCTGCCTGTCTTGCCGCTAACTTTGAATTCATAGGAGAAGTATAAGGTCTATTGATGCTCTTCGACTGCGATTAAGAGGCGGTGAAATTATGCTAAATAACTTAGCGAGCATCAGGACTCTGCTCTGCAGTTCTAGTTCTTTAATTCTAGTTTCTTAAAGTGCTAGTTGCTCTAAGTTTATTAATGTAAGGAGATGGGTCCATCGACTGCAATGAAAGTCTTCCTCCTTGCCTTGGACTCGAGACTTCCCCTCTGGTATTTGAAGCTGCAATTATGCCTTCATATTTATTGCTTTTAGTGACTGAGTTAGATTGATAGTTAGAATCGTCATTAGCACCTGCTGGTTACTGATTTAAAATAGCTTTTTGATAAGTAATGTCCAATGAACTGAATAAAATATCAGCTTGCTCAGGGAATATTTTCTAATATTCTGCAAATACTTATCTGCATTTCAATCGTACTTAGTCGTTCGGATCAGATAATCCATCTTAGATGAATATCTCAATACAATCCTGGTTTCTGAGGAGTATCTCTTGGGGATAGGTGGTTATGATAGAGGCGAAGTATTCTTAAAGTTTAGCCTTAAATATGGTATTTCTTGAGCTTTTTAATTACTCTCCAATAGACTGAATTACTCTAAAATAAAATTTAACAATACTGATTTCTATGAAAATTATTATTAAATTTCAAGAAATGATTCTGACTATTCTGTCAACTTACTTTTGATTCTGGGTGCTTTTTAAGATTTACTTGATGCAATCGTGAGCCAAGTCGACCACCACTTTCTTACCATTGTTTAATGCCTTAAAAAGACAATCCTCGTGGATGTATCTATGAGAATGGTTCTCAAAGTCCTTTGGATATTAGTTTGAGAAAAATATCAATAGCTAGCACGCCTCCTTCATTACTGTGGATCTCAAATCAAGTATCTAGAATTGTATAGGCTTTTGAAGTCTTTTAAAGATTTGATCCAAGAAGTCTTATATTTAGGCTTCGTTCCCTCCTTTTGTAGCATTTTCTGTTAATGTATAAATCGATTATATTCCTGATATTCTATCTTTCCATTCATAGGCTAAAATTAAAAATTAGTAAAGAGTTAATAAGTTTATAAAATAGTAGTTACTTTGTGTATCTTTGAGTGTCTCAGATATCCTGTTTATTTGGCTGTCAAAGACCAATGGGTTCATGCCTGTGCTGTTAGAAATGATACTCTTGTTTGCCATTGATTAAACGAATTAGATTTTAAAGCTTTATTAAAAAATTATTAAAATCTGCTTTAATTTTAATGATAGTATTTCAACCTAATTTGTAAAGTAATGCCAAAAATATAATGACAAAGATAATGACATAAGTCCACACACTGTTACTGCCCTTTGTTACCATTTCATCTAATTTGCCTAGAGTCCTTGTAACCATGAGTTTAGTCTTATCAAACCCTGTGTCAAGTTTCTTTATTAGATTTACATCATCCTTTATCTGAGTTGACAGGCCCATACTGATCCCCTTGATTGCTGATACCTGCTTCTCAAGTATATCCACACGGTTATCATTATCTTTCATCGCCTATTTCTCAATAAAATTCTATGATTCCTCGTCTGGATTTTCTGCATCAGTCTTCTTAGACAAGTTGTGCTTGAAGTTTTTCTTATTCTAGTTGGATTTCGAGTCTGTTGTTTTCTTTGAATTCATTTTATAAATATTTATATTGGGTAATTAATAAATTTCTAAATTCTTATACTATAAAAGCAATATATAGAATTATTCCATCACAGTATATATCAATTCTTCTATTCAAAAATTACTTTTCTCGCTTTACATAACTATTTTATATGATGGGGTTTTGGGGTTTTGGGG